CAGGCTGATGTATTTTACGGCGCTCTAATTCTTTGATTAAAATCAACCAATGAGACTTCTGCAGGTCTCTGATTCAGTAATTTTGAGGTCTCTTATTTATATTGTTCAATCACTCAGAATTTTCTCTATGCAGCTATAAATCTATCAAGTTTCTAAATGCTGGGAATTTAGCCAATGAATGTGTGAGTGAGAATGTCGCGAAGTGTCAATAAGCATAGCAATGTGGATACGGATTTGTGCTTGCATCACAGCTGCCAACCATGCACATTGTTGATCTGGGTTTATTCCTACGGAAACGTTTTTCAAAAAAGTCCATTTCTGTTGGTTTTGGGTCCGCTAATCTAACAGTAACACATGAAGAATGAGGGTTTTCGTATTTTCTTCATATCTTCTGTAGTTGTCATGGATTCGGATGGGAGTTTCTTAATAATATTGATCATTTGATTGTGTACGAAGTCATAAAAAGATGCATCTCATAGAAATGAAATCAAATAAAAGACGTTATTGTTGTAATATTACAGACATGCAATACCAACTACTTGAAAAGCACTTCGAGGGGACCAGTCAGAATAAAGTTCTTCCCAGTGTTTCCTCAATATCTCTGTTGTTTTTCATAGTTATGGATTCCACACTTTCAAAAAGGCTTCACGTTTAACTTTCAATGGAAACGCGATTTTTTATCGGAAACCAATAAGTAGTGCTTAATTTGTGTAGTAAAGTTGCGCTACGAAAATTCCTGAGAACACTAATAAGATAGCGCTTTTGAAGATCTACAGAGGCTTGTTAATGCAGATCTTCAGCGGCTGAAATGTGGAACTCATATCTCTTCTTTAACTTCATTATTTTGATTTGATTATAATCATTGGATTAAATGACTAATAAGACTGACAAATACTTAGTATTTAATCTCGGATACTAAAGTCTATAATGTGGGCATGACTGGTTTTAGTCTGTAATAGGGCGGATGTTATGACCCAGCAGTATGTGGGTCATATGACGGAGAAGAGACGTGGCTGGATAGCTCAGTTGGTAGAGCAGTCGCCCGGTACGCGATAGGTCCGAGGTTCGGTTCCTCGTTCAGTCATTTCTTTTGCTCCATTCTGTTGTCATACTATCTCGCTGGGCAGATGTCGGGTGTGAGATTTTTCCATCCCTCACAGCGGATATGGGAGCCGGAACAACTTGGCTTGAAATGTTCGCTCACTACTTTGTTCGAAAATTCATGCCAGTGTCGCAAAATAGACAGTACAATTTGTTTATCAAGCTTGATGTGGCAACACATAAACACAAGCGAGCTGCATTTCAAGTTTTGAAGTTATTGATATTGAATGCTTGCAGCACCACTACAATAGCGCTTTTTGCTTTTATTCCTGTGACATCCACATGTATGTGGTTTTACGGAGAATCAAATACTGCATCCCTGAGAAAATATTCAGTCCAAATCTATAAAAACTAGAGAAAATATTGCGAAAGGTGAAGACCCTCATTCATTGTAGACTATCCTTCAGTCGCAAGAAAATTGAGTTCGAACTCGGGCTCCTTGTCTCCTCCCCACCTCCCCCCTCCCCCTTAAAAACCAATGTTTGATTATGATAGAACATCCAACAATCGCTCTTCCAACTGAGAAATGTGATTTCGCTTTTCCATGAATCAGACCGTAGGCAAATCTATCAAAATACCTATTCTTCAAGCTATCCTTTCGGGATTGAGAATGACTTTATTTCATTGTTTAGCGATGTGAAGAATAGAAATATGCTTTTGCTTATATCTATACAGGATAAATAGTTAAATATAGTGAAGAGACTTGACGCAAATGGCATTGCATGTTAAGTCCAGTAGTTCAGTGGGTTAATGTAGCAAACTGACACTGAAACCCAAACACAATACCCACACCCAAACCCAAACCCANTATCTCTGTTGTTTTTCATAGTTATGGATTCCACACCTTCAAAAAGGCTTCACGTTTAACTTTCAATGGAAACGCGATTTTTTATCGGAAACCAATAAGTAGTGCTTAATTTGTGTAGTAAAGTTGCGCTACGAAAATTCCTGAGAACACTAATAAGATAGCGCTTTTGAAGATCTACAGAAGCTTGTTAATGCAGATCTTCAGCGGCTGAAATGTGGAACTCATGTCTCTTCTTTAACTTCATTATTTCGATTTGATTATAATCATTGGATTAAATGACTAATAAGACTGACAAATACTTCGTATTTAATCTCGGCTACTAAAGTCTATAATATGGGCATGACTGACTTTAGCCCGTAATAGGGCGGATATGGGAGCCGGAACAACTTGGTTTGAAACGTTCACTCCCTACTTTGTTCGAAAATTCATGCCAGTGTAGCAAAATAGACAGTACAATTTATTTATCAAGCTTGATGTGGCAACACATAAACACAAGCGAGCTGCCTTTCAAGTTTTGAAGTTATTGATATTGAATGCTTGCAGCACCACTACAATAGCGCTTTTTGCTTTTATTCCTGTGACATCCACATGTATGTGGTTTTGTGGAGAATCAAATACTGCATCCCTGAGAAAACATTCAGCCCAAATCTATGAAAACTAGAGAAAATATTGCGAAAGGTGAAGACCCTCATTCATTGTAGACTACCCTTCAGTCGCAAGAAAATTGAGGTCGAACTCGGGCTCCTTGTGTCCTCCCCCCTCCTCCCCCCCTTAAAAACCAATGTTTGATTATGATAGAACATCGAACAATCGCTCTTCCAACTGAGAAATGGGATTTCGCTTTTCCATGAATCAGACCGTAGGCAAATCTATCAGAATACCGATTCCTCAAGCTATCTTTTCGGGATTGAGAATGACTTTATTTCATTGTTTAGCTATGTGAAGAATAGAAATATGCTTTTGCTTATATCTATACAGAATAAATAGTTAAATATAGTGAAGAGACTTGACGCAAATGGCATTGCATGTTAAGTCCAGTAGTTCAATGGGTTAATGTAGCAAACTGACACTGAAACCCAAGCACAATACCCACACCCAAACCCAAATCCAAACCCAAACTCCCAAACGGTTTGGGTTTGAATTTGGGTTTGGTGCATGCCTAGAAACTGCTGTTACTGCGACACAGACCAACGTAACTGCGTCGCAGTAATCGTATTGTATAATCCGCTGAAACTGGCACCGACCAATGAAAAGTAATCGCTCCTTATTCATAATTGGTCACACTCCAGCAGTAAAATTTAGCCAGAGAAAGACCGTATAAAAAGCAGTGTCCACGAAATTTCGGCTCATAACTCATTCTACTACAAAACGTAGAATATATTATTTTCCAAATAGGTTTTCAATTTCTTTCTAGCTTTTTAAATTTTTTTCAAAGCTTTCTATTTTTGTATATTTTATTTTTTATTTTTCTGTAAATTTTAAGTTTTTATTAATATTTTAAGTTTTTTTATTTTTCTAATTCTTTTAAATTTTTCTAATTTTCTTAATTTTTCAATTTTTTCAAGTTTTTTGTAATTTTTTACAATTCTTGTTTTTAGTTTTTTATAAGAATTTTCAATTTTGTAGCTTTTTAGAGTTTTTTATTTTTTTTGTTTGAAAAAAACTTTAATTCTCAATAAAAATATTAATATAATGAAAACCTCATCCATATCATCTTTTTAGAAATTGCGGGTCACAGTGCGATCGCAGTTGCGGCGCAGTTGGACCGTAGTCCGACATATGGGATGTTTTGACTTGTTTTGAGCAAAATCGCTAAATCAAAAAATCCAAAATACTAAATGTCTTAAAATAATGTCTATCACTTCAGGCTACTTTCTGAAATTATTCTGCANTACAATTTGTTTATCAAGCTTCATGTGGCAACACATAAACACAAGCGAGCTGCATTTCGAGTTTTGAAGTTATTGATATTAAATGCTTGCAGCATCACTACAATAGTGCTTTTTGCTTTTATTCCTGTGACATCCACATGTATGTGGTTTTGTGGAGAATCAAATACTGCATCCCTGAGAAAATATTCAGTCCAAATCTGTGAAAACTAGAGAAAATATTGCAAAAGGTGAAGACCCTCATTCATTGTAGACTACCCTTCAGTCACAAGAAAATTGAGTTCGAACTCGGGCTCCGTGTCTCCTCCCCCCATTAAAAACCAATGTTTGATTATGATAGAACATCGAACAATCGCTCTTCCAACTGAGAAATGTGATTTCGATATTCCATGTATCAGACCGTAGGCAAACCGATCAAAACTATCCATTCTTCAAGCTATCCTTTCAGGATTGAGAATGATTTTATTTCATTGTTTAGTGATGTGAAGAATAGAAACATACTTTTGCTTATATCTATACAGGATAAATAGTTAAATATAGAGAAGAGACTTGACACAAATGGCATTACATGTTAAGTCCAGTAGTTCAGTGGGTTGATGTAGCAAACTGACACTGAAACCCAAACACAATACCCACACCCAAACCCAAACTCTCAAAGGGTTTGGGTTTGAGTTTGTGTTTGGTGCATGCCTACTTGTAATCGTATATACACTTAACTATAATGGAAGAAGAATAGATATAGTATTAGGAATAGTTATCGTTATATCTTGAAAACTAGTTGATAATTCCGAGATTTTCATCAAACCTGAACAAATCAAATTGATATTTTCGGTGATGTTAGAATATGAACTGTCTTTCAACGTAGCCATGTCTAGCAAGTCCATTCGTTTGTTCAATAGCGATTAATTGAACTAATAATTCTGCTAGATATTGTGGATCGGGAAAATAATAATTGGATAGAAGTATATCATCATAACGAAGAATAATACCTAAAAGTATTTTTATTATTCTTATCAATCTTGTTCTTTAATTGAACCATTTTCATGAAGCCATTTGGTTGCTTGTTGAAGTCCAACATGATCACGAAATGAATTCTGATTTGTCCCTTGAAAGATTTCCTGAATTAAATCTCTATAAACAGCAAAAAAAAGCAATCTTTGATTGATAAACAAAATCAAACCTTTTCTTGTATTCTTTTTCAGTTAAAATCGATGTTTTCGATTTTGACGATATTCCTCTAAAGCTTCTTCTAAATAAATATATTTCGCTGGAAATCTCGGTTGAAATACAGTTTGATCTTGTCCACCTAAAATCTCCTTTTAAATGATCTTGATCAACAAAAATCTATTTCATTCTACCTGGTGCTAATAACTGTTCAGCAATGTTAAAAATCAATGTTAATAATTGTATGATATTCGACTCTGTTTTACTACTAATTTCAATTGAATCAATCACTTTAGGATAGCCGAATTTTTCACTTTGAGATGTATCAATAAAACGTTGATAGAGAAACGATTGATAATGTTCGGATAATTGTCGATAATTTTTTAATTTAATCATTTGATCTTGATGTGTACCGATGAACCTGGTGCCACTGTCTAAGGCATAAGAATCTTTCTCAAACATGACCATCGAAATGATTCATAAGGGTCACAGATGTATGTAGAAATCAGTGACTTTGATTGATTTTTAATGAAACTCTATAGAATTTTTCTTCTTCTTTATCTATCTGACGATGACAAATATATTTACCAGCTCATGTGCTCCATGTATAGAGAATAAGAAACAAGCCAAGGCTGTTGATGCCATTTAAGTTCTACTATGAAAAGAAAAAGATAGTCACGAATTGTCGATCGATATCAAGCACTAGTGAAGAACAAATCTATGGTGTACCTGTGAAGTTTGCTGATCATTTATTCAGTACTGTAAGTTTGATCATAATCGAAGATTAAGTAAAAAAAAAAAGATCTGATTTTTTCTAGCTTGTTCATGGTCAAATTTGTCAATTAATTAATTTATCCGAAACAAAACAACTTCAATCAACTGATGAAGAAGCATTTCGATTATTAACATGTCGAATAACTGAATTATTAAAATATCTTATCTCTCGACATAAAGATATCTATAAAGTAATCATTCAAGTCATAACTTATTCAAAACAAGATCATGAAACATTATTCATCATGAATCGATGTTTATTAAATCATCTAACAGATGATCTTTTTTCAATTGAAAGTGATCAAATAAATGTTTTTTTCTTTCTCACAGACAAAAAAGTTTATTTATGCGTAAATACGTCATTTTGCACATATTCTAAATATATGAAGGTTCTTGTCCTTTGGTTAATCCCATTGAAGCTAGTTGAGCTATTATAACTTCTGTTGAAATGATATGAGCTCGTGAACTATATCTTGTAGTCAAGTCTAAAATGGGTGCTGTTGGTTGAATAGCATCTGTTCCAATAGCTATACCACATAATTCTCCTTAAGCTGTAAAACAGCCGCCACCACTATCTCCTTTGTTCGCACCACAATCAGATCTTATATGACCATATTTATCTTGCTTTGTTGAAGAAATAATACCACTAGTTATACACAACGTTCTAGAGATTTCAGTATATGAATAAGCAAGTAATAAAACATGATCACCATCGTGAGGTAATGTCGTTCTTGGCTGTGGTAATATCGATTCTGTTTGCATAAGAACATAGTCAAGATTTTCATTAAAATAGATAACTTTTACCATATAATGAGTGTATTCATCAATATCAGGAAATTTTACATATAAATTACGACCAAGTTTTAATTCATACCGTAATTCACCATGATAATGAGAAACGATATGATTATCGTTCACGATTGTTACTGTATGGTTTTTTGTTATGTTAGATTCTTGTTGTTGTTCAGATATTGTCAACATGTATCCAACAAATTTTTTCAGTTGTTGTACTGCAAATAAAGATAAAGCGATTACTATGCACGACTTTGATACATTCAGTAAAGTATGAGTGATATGTCGCTGTTTTCTTTAAAAAAAACTTTAAAAAAAAAAAAGTTGTAAACTATCAGAGCAAAACGGGTTATGAATAAATGGGAAAACTATTCCAAGTCAATTGGAGTTATCTTCAAATCGCTGGAGTCAGTCGATTGGAGAGTTTTATAGACTTGTGGATCGAGAAATCTCAAAAGTAATGCTCATTTTCTAATGAGCATACTAAAAACGCTTTCGTAAAAGAGTTTTTCATAGCTTTTGATTTCGTATCTCAAAGTTTACCTA